ACATGGAAAAGGCCTATGATAAAGTGGGTTGGGCCTTTGTAGGCACAACGCTAACGCATATGGGATTTGGCCCAAATTTCTGTAGATGGGTCTCGGTAATGTATTCGACTTCCACAGCGATGGTAATGGTAAACAACTATCTGTCCCAGGAATTTAATCTCTCCCGCTCACTGCGGCAGGGGTGCCCGCTAGCCCCCCTACTCTTTGTCCTACATTTGGAAGTCATGTTAGACAATATAAGATTTAATGACCAGATTACAGGGTTGGAACTGCACAATAACTACCAATGGAAAGGGGGCGCCCTGGCGGATGATCTGACAATAACATCATGTAGGAATGACAAAAACTCTCTGTTGTGTGTTCGTAACATACTTAATGATTACTCATTATTATCTGAGGCCTCAATAAATTTGAACAAGTCAGTGTTTCTCTTGCCTGCCCAATTTCATCTCCAAGTGGACTGGGGTATGAGCGCATACCCACGGAGAGTTCTGATCGTTATTTGGGGGTTCAAGTTTCACTCTCAGACAACTCGGATCTGCAGGACCAACTGCTGGTGGAAAAGGTCTGTCAACGAATTGATAAATGGGATTACACACGCCATCTGTCGGTACTTGGTCGTGCTCTGGTGTTAACCTCGTCAACCTTTTCCATTCTGTGGTACCCTTTACAAGTCCACCGCTTGGGAGACCATGCGTACAAGAGGATAAGGAACAGAGCCTTTAAGTTTCTCTGGAAGCCTGAGGCGGCAGAGGATGATGGGTTTCTCTCCAAAATAGCATGGGAATCGGTGTCTTTCCCTAGAGAAGAAGGGGGGTTTGAGATCCTAGATCCTAAACGTCAAAATATTGCTCTCTTGGCTAAATGGCCGATTAAAGCTATCTTAGCAGATCACCAACATGCATGGATTTGGCTTGCAGAATATATCCTCAGCGTAGAATGGAATCTGTGTAACCCAGCTGATGTTTGGAGCTGCATTTTTATGAAGTCATATAGCCAGAAACGTCTGAAATCCAGGTTCTGGAGAGATATTTTGTATGCATGGTCCAAGATCCTACCTGCTAACCTAGTACAACCGGATTCCCTGGAAGAGGTACTTATGCAACCTATATTTGAGAACGCTATGCTGTGTGATCTTGAAGATTCTCCTTTTTCAGCTCAGGAATCCCCTGGTTGCTTTGGGAAGGCATGGGTTGAACGAGGTATCGTTCGGCTGTTGGATCTGTGGGATACAGAAACGGGAGATTGGAGGACAGAGGCGTCCGTCCGTAGTCAGTTGTGTTATCTTCGTAATGTAGAAGAACATCTGGCGGACATCCAGAATGCGCTTCCTCCAAGATGGGCTCAGTTACTCAATGGACAGACGGGTGGAACCCGTTGGCTCAAGGTAGCAGATACACAGCAGCAACAGCCACAGCAGAACCAGCAGCGGCTGCAAGAATACTGGAACCTGCTGGGGCTTGAACCCAGCGGAGAATATGCAGTGGAAGTATGGACGGAAACATCAACCACATCCTTCAATAGACTCCTTCGTTTCAAGGGAAAAAATTTAGTCATATCTTTAGGGAACAGCACTCAGATAGTAACAGAGGTTAAACATAAAAGTGGAGCCGCTGGGGGTATTGATAACAATGTAACAGATAGTTACCCTGAAGTAAGATTGGTAGCTGAAGGAAAAGCCTTGCTGGACATGGCCGTGAACTCCTGCTCAGTGGGTTGGACAGATCAAAAGACTCGTAAGTTTATAGGCCTGAGTGATCACTCCACCAATCGAGGTGTGGAATTCCTCCGACAGAAGTGTAAGAAGCAGCGGATTGACGTAGTACTGAAAAGAAGGGAGGAGCGATCGTTACTAGTTATAGCAAGAAAAGATCTGCAGTCACACTGGAAGCAATTGAAGGCTCTTCCATCTCAGCGTCAGGCCAGTATCCTAATACTGCATTCATTGCTGGTGACAGCTTCGGCTGTGTGGCTACATTCAAGAGGTATGGAGATCTCCACCACCTGTGGCCGGTGTAACTGGGCTTGGGAAACCACAAATCATTTGTGGCATGCCTGCCCCCTCTCTCGCAGAGTGTGGACCTGGTGGGAACAATGGTGGAAGCAGATCACAAAGGACATATTTCCATGGAACGAAAGCTGGGTTCTGCAAGGAATTTTACCTGGAGGTCTGTCTGCAACGGTGGGCTGGGGGTATGTGGCTCAGGTGATCAGAGGTATCATTTACGGGGTCATCTGGGCCGACCGTAATCATCAGGTGTTCAGGAACTCCCACCTTTCGCTGAAAGTCATCATCAATAAAGTAAAGGCGGAAATTCGTCATACTATCATTGCTGACTGGAGACGACGAACCCAAAGGAAAACTAGTGGCAGATCAGTAGGATGGTTCTCGAGAACCTGGAATTTGAATGCCCAGTTGGTCCTGTTTAAACCCAATGGTACTTTTCAGTTTCCCACGTGGTTGCTGAAAGATGCAGACTGAGAGTTTTTACCCCTCGGGGTTGGCTGTTCATTATCCAGGATAAAAAGTGGTAGGGTCAGAAGCATATTTGGACCGCATTAGGTCCCTTAATAGGAACTATCTGTGGTATGGTACTGTAAGTTGTTCTCGGGTCCCAAGGGGTCTCGTAAAAAGCGAAACTGGGTAATGCTCCCAGATTGCATTTTGGTTCCGGGTAGAATGTGAGGACCCCGGCCTCAGGAATTTTCGATGTTTAATCTAAAGCCTTGGGCACTGGGCCTTATCTTCAAAAAAAAAAAAAAAAAAAAGGCCGCAATGCATGCTGTTCTGTTGTTCTGACAGAAATTCTCCTTGGCAAAGGAGTAGTATGGATTCCGTACGTCTGGGCCCAAGTCCTCCTCCGTAAAAGCACAGATTTGAACCGACACGGACTTGTTCATTGACAATAGTCTGAGACTCTGAGGCTTCCTTGAAATAGGCCGCAGTGCACGCTGTTCTGTTGTTCTGACAGAAATTCTCCTTGGCAAAGGAGTAGCATGGATTCCGTACGTCTGGGCCCAAGTCCTCCTCCGTAAAAGCACAGATTTGAATCGGCAACCTCGGCCTCAAGAGCCAAGTCTCTTAACCACTACATCCAGGACACAGTGTTCAAAAGTGGAATCCTACCTGGCCTGATATCCACCCCACCCTGCAAGGGCTGTAGTGTCCAACTCAACACACACCACACACAACACCCACGGACATGGCAATTCTCGTACACTTCGCTCTGTAAGAGTACCAATTCCGTTCTGACATGATCGTCTTTGCCCTCCCATCGCGATGAAGCACGGAATTGGTAAGAGTACCAGCTTGGGCACTGGGCCCTCCCAAACACCTCCCAAACCACAATCAATTTCCAGCGATGAAGCCATGATCGTCTTGCCACGTTAGGGACAGCCAAAAAACTCGCCTATGGTTGTGATTTCACGAACCAAAAAACTTGGTTGTAATTTCACGCACGTTAGGGACAGCCACAGGACCCCAACAACAAAAACAAAAGAAAAACCTCCCAATGGGAGAGCAAATTTAAAGAAAACATCCTTTTCCCGGGGGCTTAATTCACAAAAAAACAGGCTACCGTTGATTTCCTCCTGCCAAATCCACGATGGCTGACAGTCACACACCTTAAACACTAATCCACACAGTACATCGGTAGTGGGATCTCGTTCCGGTGGCTTATCACCGGCCAGCATGAGAACATGTTTTTTGTAAAAAAAGATTTTCAGTCCGAATTAAAAAAAAAATTAAAAAAAATAACTCTGAGATTTCCCCTTCATTTCCCGTTGACGTTCGCCCTCTCGATACGAGCGAATCTGATGCTTTGTTCTTCTTCGTTTTCATTTTAAATTTCGCCTTAAATATATTTATCAGCTGCAAAACATTGTCGCACTGAATTTGATTTGTTTGATTACTTTGAAGTTTGAATCGAGGAGAGGAAACGGTATAGAAAACTGACGACAGCTACCATCTTCCCCCGAACACAACGCACCCTCATTTTGACTGCATCGGGCCCGAAACATACTTTGTATACGTTCATTTTCAGGGTGCGCTATGTTCGGGGGAAGACGGACGGTAGTGTGACGGTCCTCAACTTCTTGTCTTGTGTAGGAGGACCGGCGGGCGTCAAACTACCGTCCTCCTCCCCCCCCCCTAACATAAAGCACCCTGGTCCCTGAAAATGAACGTACACAAGGTATGTTTCAGGCCGGATACAGTCAGAATGAGGGTGCATTGTGCTCCGGGAAAACGGGAGGTAATGTTTCCTCTCGAGTTCAAATTAATCAAATTCAGTGCGACAATTCTTTACAGCTGATAAATATTTAAGCCATATTATTTAAAATGAAAAAAAAAAAGAAGAAGAACAATGATTTTGTCAGAGATACGCTCCTTCATGATTGCGACCTGATACAAAGGCTAATCGCATATTAGTACAAAATGCAAAAAAAAAAAAAAAAAAAAAAA